AAGGAGGTAGAGATCGGGTCACCTGCTTCTTCCCTTTAGTCATAACATGATATTCCATACTTTAAATGTTATTTATGAACTACAGTTAGTCAGCAAGTGACCAGCTAGGAATGACATGGAGGTGATACAGTTAAAAAGTATCATTTCTATGACAGGAAGGAATCAAGTTACTTTCCACAGTCAGACATTCAGGGTCATACAGTATATCCTCTTTAGACATCTTGAAGTCATTACCAAATGATCATGCTTCTCTTTCCTGAATTGATGTGATAAGCATCCATCATAGAAAAGCAGCACCTGTACCTGTAAGTTTGACTGAGGTTCTTTACTTGTAGAAGAACTTAATGGGATGCTTTATGGGAGACATTATCAGTGGCAAGAAAATGAAATAAAGTCAGCAAGTATCAACAAATGTTTACATAAGCAAAGTTCATGGTGCATTCTGGTGCCCCAAATGTTTTCCCATGATACTATATATAACACTAAGAAAAGATGAAGAGTGAGATATGCATCCTGTGCATTTGAACCTTAGCTTGGCATAAACAAAAGTTAGGTAGCAAAAACGAAATAATATAAGTGCATCTCTGATTTTTGTGAAACCAGCATACATGAAGGCAACTTATACAACTTATTAAAGGATATGTTTGGTAATACAGGTTCTGTATATATCTGATTTAATTAACACAAAACAAATCAAACCATATACACAACTGTTAACTTTACTATGATAAAAGTTGTACAAATTTAAGTCTAAATTTAGGGGTTTTAATGTGTTAAGAGTAAAGCGAATATTTGTTTAATCAAATATAATGAGACTACATATTAGATTATTATCTCTTCTGTAGACACGAATTTCTGATATTCTTCTTCCAAAACTTCTTTAGTCTTCAAAAAAAAATTTCATAGTTGTCAATTCGTTTCACTGTCAACTAAATCTAACCCATATCTGTAAGGGATTTCAGCACAGTAGTAAACTCATTACAGTCTCTAGTGTAAACATACGATCTAGAATAGAATCATTGTATTTAACATAGTTCTACAACTTTAGTGTAAACTCAAAAAGAATAGTTTAAACACACTAACAGTTCACTTGCTGATGACATGTACATCATAAAAAAAGGAAAATTAAAATTGTCATGTTTATATGACTTGTGTTGGATATGTGGTGTTAGCACCTTTGACTTACGGTACCCAATGAGCTACAAAAAGACACTGCATTAAGAAGCTTCTACATTTGATAACTTCAAGCTGCTCACACAATACTGTATAGTACTTCTCTATATTACTTTACCATAAAACAATCTTGGGTGCAACTAACAATAGTGTGAGTTCTGCATTACACTCAATAATCAACCATTAATTCATTCACTACTGAAATTAGAGTAATTTTAATACAGTCCTACAATTACTGCAGCTGCCAAGGACACGGATGCTAACCACAAACTGAAAACAGACATAGGTGCTGGGGAAGCAGCAAAAATCCTCTGTTGCATAGACAAGGTAAAATTATAAAAAGTTGAACATATCTATATAACTGGGATAAACAGGTAGTAGTCTATAATTTGGACTGCATTTGAAAAAGTAGAAGCTCAATGAAGGAATACTAAAGTCTTAATGTGCATCAAATATTTAGAAACAACTTAAAAAAAATTCTGTATTACCGGCTGCTGAAAATAATGTTGTGAACATTTACCCGGTACCTTAGTGCTAAAGGGTGAACAAAATGAGAAAATTCAATGAGCTTACAGGAGACAGTCATCTATTCACAAGTGTCAAATTTAATACACCACAGACAGTATATACACCACAGTACAGCACATTATATAACACCAATATCCCACATCTTCTTGAAGTACTAGTTACCACTGATCTACAATGGTCCATGTGGCTGCAGTGTGACCCTCTCCTCCTCAACTATCAAGTGTTAAGAGGCAGAATGGCACTACAACCAAGTGAATCTTGTTTATATATATATATATATATATATATATATATATATATATATATATATATATATATATATATATATATATATATATATATATATATATATATATATATATATATATATATATATATATATACACACACACACACAAGTATATACCCGGTATATAAAACAAGATCAACCCAAATTATTACATTAACCATTTCTTACCCTGAGGAATATACAGGTAGACCTCTATAACAAACAGTTACAGACTTAAAAGAAAAAATATTCACACATACATATATACAGTACTGTATACAGTAAGCATCAGTGACACCCCCCTAATTTTTTTAAATAAAGGGACGAAAATTCCTTCCATTTATTAATACATGCAGCAGTTTCTACCAAGCTAAACTGAGTAGCCTTGTTCAAGGTCATAAGTCATTTGACCAGCTCCAAGGAAACCATAACACAACATCTTTCATTTACAGTAAACGTTCAAATACTTCATTCATGGGGAAGGTTCAAGAAACTTAATCCCACAGTTTCATAACAAACAAATTTGCATGAATTGTACAGTATTGTTTTGTATTAAATCATAATCCCATCTTCAAAGCCATCACAAATTGCACACAGAAACAAAGTATTTACTTGAATATCTGACCCAGAACATAAGGGTTTGATGCAGGTCTTCCGGTTCATTTAGTTGAAAATGTTGCACAGCAAATAAACTTCATATGGAGACTGTTATTGTTCCAAATTGTCAACTATTACAGCAAGTATTACCAATATAGGTTCAGGAAGAATGCTATGTGCTCCTACCCATGATGGTCCCTACACATTTTGAATGTGATGGATGAAAAGGAAAATGTGATAGACCCAAGTACTGTTGATTAAGACATTAGTTCCTGTCTTTTGAGTCTTTGAGGTGAATCTCAGCAGAAGACAGACTCATTGGATTGTTTTAACACTTCACTCCTGGTGTAGTTAAAATACTACAACAGCTAGAAAGAACTAATGAAAGTAAATGAAATTGTATTGTTCTTAATTCTAAACCCTGCGCTGAAGTGGGCTTGCAAGAATCAAAAGTATGATAAAAGGCAAATAAAGTTTATCCACACCTTAGGTAGTGATACACTGTATAACATAGTAAACAGCTACCAAACAGGGAGGTACTACCGCCTGGGAAGATATTGGAAGCATAATGTGTTGTCTAATGGTAGACCCTGCTGCCATATGGCATCACAAAAATTGTGACCAAGTCCCAGATTGCTGATCTGACTTCTGCCTCATTTACACACAATTGCAGGATCTCAATTGTTTCTCTTACTATTGACAACACAACATACATACATTGTTTCTCACTTTTGATTTTTTTTCATTTTTGCATTTCTTTATGGTTCTTTATTATTATTATTATTATTATTATTATTATTATTATTATTATTAGTAGTAGTAGTAGTAGTATCATTATTATTATTACATTCCCCCCCCCCTCAGGCCCCGATGTGGGTCAGTGACCTGTGCCCGGGTGGGCTAATCCCCGGTATATAAAAAAAAAGGAAAAAAAAAGGTATTTACAGAAAACTAAACACTTACAAATAAGCAAAATGAACTTTACACTAACTAAATTAATACACGAGTCACACTAAAATAGTATATTAAAGCATATCAGGGAAAAACTGGAAAGAAAACCTTTGGAGTCCACTTCTCCCAAGTGTGGCTAAAAAAAAAAAAAATTCTGGAGAAGATTATTCATTGTAAATGAAGATTTTTTTTTACTGAGTAAATGAATAGCAAGATTTCTTAAGCACCATACACAAGTAAAGCTGAATTCTTCTACACTAACTTCACACTAGAAGACCCCTTTTCCAAAATCATATATAAAACCAATTATAATTGCCCCATAGAACTCATGCATGACTGTAATATATTCAGTAACATATCAAGAATCCTTTTTAAAACTATTTCAGAGCCCTGTACTTCATACACAACTTTGACCTACTAATATGAGGGGACCGGTGGAAGAGCAACGTCTAGTATGTGCCTAAACCGCAAGCTGAGATAATGGAGGTTAAGTTTGCTAACAATATTTCTAGCATATTTCTGTAACCCAACATATGATTTTGATAATGTACAGTAATGTCAAAAGGTGGGAAATTAATATAATTTTAGGATATGTGAAGAAATCTGTAGTTGCCAAGGTCACGCTACCGGTAGTCATAACGTTGAGCTTAAGTTAGGGAGTCACCTTAGAAACTGCAAAAAATAGTCAATAAACATAAATAAACAATTATGAAAAAGTTAATATACCGGTAATACTGTACTCACAAGCATAGGAGAAGTGTACATGTGCTCAGCAGCCATTCACAGGGGGGCCCAATATTCCTCTCTACTACCTCTTTATTGCTGCTCAAGCTCACATACGCTCCACCCTGTTTTCTTTTCTTCTTTGCTACCTCTTTCTTCCACTTCAAGGGGTCACAAATACATGTATGCTTCATTGACAGCCCATAGTCTTCCTCCACAGAATAATTACTCATGTGGTGTCTGGTAAAGGGAGGCTTGGCAGTGAGAGTGACGTCACAGCATCGCTCACCAATGACTGGTTACGCTCCCTGGTTGATGAGCCAATATTCCCCAAGCTCTGGGCGTCATTGCACTACTCAAGTATCAATAGCAAGGGCAAAAATCCTATATATTTCCAAGACTTTTTTAACCTATCTCAAATGACATATCTACCTTTTAAAACATACTGGAATCTAGTTTTATAGAGATTCCTCTGGCAACATGTTGAAACAAAGATCACTTTCTTTTCACAGCTGGTCAGTAAGTCACTCTTTCATCAAGCGCTTCATTTGATGTTAGATATTCTGGATTTTAGTCCAGATTCTGACACCATGAGTTACTTTCTCTGAACATTTAGATGGTTGTCTGATTTTACCCATAATTTATTTTGTATTTCCTTTCAACAAAAGCCTTAAGTAAAATAAAATGTATACATATTGGCAATTAAAGGACAAAATATTTTCCTGAGTAATAAAAATATCTTGGTAACTAATAGCAAAGGTAAAACAAAAAAATATTACTACTGTATTTGTATAAACATTTTTGTTACAGGAAATCAAGTCGCAAATCACAGAAACACTCAGGGAGGTAAATTTGCCAGAGTAAAGCAATCAGCACTCTCTCTCAATCACTGTTGTTGATACTAGAACTTAAGATCTGTATCAGCTATGCTATGACTCTTTAGATGCAATTGTGACAAGTGCCCTCATAAAAATTATTCTAACTTGTGATATAAAAATCTAAGATCCACTTAACAAAATGTCACAATTTATTTGTAACATCTGCAAGAGTTTACACATATCATCATTCATTCATTTCTGTACATGTCTTCTTCAAAAGCAGCAACAATTTAAGTATTTAAATGACAGTTTTCCTTGAGAAAATATGTACAGTATTACTGGATACAGTATTTTATTTAATGTGCTCTTTATCTTAGCAATAATTGCAACATATTTCTGATTAAAAACAAAAAACTAATGTGTACATAGGAACAATCATGTAGATAAATATAATACAAACTGTAAGTCAGTATCATCAGTACTAACCTAACTTAAGATAAGATAATGTAACCTAACCTAATCTGACCTACCTAAGGTAAAATTTGGTTATGGTTTAGAGAGCAAAGAATGTCTCAAACAATACAATGTACCGTAAGAATGTATTAAAACAAAGTCCATTTTACCACAAGAACTAATTTTAGTGGTTACTTGTACAAAAACAATAATAAAAGCTATACTGTATGTTACGTATTAAAGTATAATCAGATGATTATCCCTAAAATGCACGACATGTATATTACAGCACAGCACTGTACTGTACAGTAAAGTCTGTAATTAATGGGGCAAATAGTGTAGGATGGTCCCTTAAGTTAAAAATCCTGTTTCGTAGAAACATTTTTAGTGATCTAAGAGCACAACTTTATTTATGAGAATGTTACCTTTAATATTATAACCATTAAACACAATTCCTTACAACTGTATTAATAAAACATTAAGTTACCATTACAAGTATTATGTATATTATTGTATTAATCCTAAACTTAAAGAGGTTGGAGGCTAACCAATCAATGTGAATTTTTCATAGTTAACAGGTTAACACACTTGATCACATTCTGTTTAGTAGAAAAGGTGTTCAGAAGAGACCCATTAATTAGAGTGCTTACTGATTATACACGAGTCACGCTAAATACAGACTCTGTACAGTAATTGTGAAATATATATATTTTCAATTTAAACTGGTCTGTATACAGGAATGATCACACAGATTATCATAATACAAATTGTAAATGCATAGAATCATTGATAAGCTAACTAAACTAGTCGGACCTAAGCTAACCTAAACTAATTTAGGTACATTTATATGGTGTGGTAGCAAAAGAGTCCCCAATGAAACATAGTTCATTTTTACTACCTGTATACATGAATTAGTTTCCTTCAAGCTTCAGCATTAAAATAAAGAAGTTATTCCTATTTGGCAAAAAATTTCAAGATGCATTCTAAGGCTTAATTGCTGGATTATCCTTATTTAGCATGACACATTATATACATACAGATTACTGTGTGTATGCGTATATAAAATCAGTGTAGGAATAAAAAGTTGTACCAAATTGCGACAGTACCATATGCAGGCACTGTACAGACTCTCTTAAATATCTACAGTAGCTATGACATCAGATCCTAAACATAATACAACTTAAAGCATGAAAGACATAAATACAATCCTATATTACTACAAAGATAATAAAAGAGTATGGTCATATTCTTACATGAACATGACAAACTTGCTTAGGTTTACCAAAAGTTTCTCAGATATTATGACTCATGGATTTTACAATCAGTTGTTGGAAAAAACTTTTTATATTTTTTTCCTTATGAACATCACTTGTCTTGTAAAATATTTATAAATTACTTGAATAAAATTTTAGCACAATTGTCGTGATGCTCTTACCTTTTAATTTACCACAAACGAAAACCACTGGGTAGGTTATGTATAATAGCTGGTCTCAATTTGTTGTAAGAATTATTCATTTTTAAAACTGAAAAAAAAAGACAAATACCCTGTACTGTATTATGGCTTACAATACCTTAATGGCAGTTTTTCCTTCTTCAATGATGTTCATCATTTTTTCCTCCTGCACTACAGTACCACCAACCAGTGAATCTACTTTAATGTGACACTCAGTATATATACACACTTGTTCTTGCTCATGGTCCACTGTGGAAAGTTTCCTTAAATATTTACCTAGTTGGTTTTAAACTGTGGCTTGTACTATATATAAACCTGTTCACTTGCAAGCTGCTCTGTGAATGGCACAACTAGTAAAGATGTTGAGAAATAAAAGATAAGGCCAAATGTGATGGATATGGGTAAGGCTGGCAGGGCTTTCTTGAAAATGGCCAGCATGATCAGAGTCAGACACAACCCCTGAAATACAAACAGTTAATTAGATATTTAATGAAAAAATAAATATAAAAATATGCACAAGATCCAAAATACCTAACAAATGTTTTTAAATGCTTGTACACTCAAACTCCTCTAATTCAACAATATTTGAGGTCTATCCTAATGAAATTACCCAGGGGTTCGAGTTATCCAGTGTCCAAGTTTGGATGATGACTTTGGACATACAGGTATTGTTATTTTTATGTAGCTAAGGCGGGTAACTCAAGATAGTACAAAAAATTGACTGGTGCCCAATTTGCCTTTATATCTGAATTCATGCAAGGTTAAAATGCTGCTAGTGGGAAGCAGGAATAAGTGCACTCCCCAGTGACCTCCACAAAACACCCATTAAGGAGGGCGGGATCCACACTGCTCTATTCATTCTTGTTTATAAACGAGGGACTGATCCTAAAATCCCATTGTATAATGAAGCATGAAGGCAATGACAGTACTACATCAAATAGTCAGGAGAAATTGGACAAACAACTTGCTATGATGCAACGAGGGCAATTTTGAGAGTCACAGAGTAATAAACTATGCAATACAGAAAATGGTTCATTGCATTAGATAAAAATCACTGTATATTTACTTACAATTAGAATGGCAATGAAACAAGCAATGGTGGTGTTCCAATCACCATATGAAGAAGCTTTGCCAACCAGGACAGAGTAGAAAATGAAGTCTCCCAGTCCAAGTTTCACACCTCCTGTAACAGAAAAATTATAAAAACATAAACTTTCTGGGAGGATCTTATCTTTTTCCATGGCATCAATTTTAGTAATTTCATCCAATTTTAGGGGCTGGATGTTTAACTGATAATAGTTAACAAGACAGATACGTGCATTGTTTTTGTGGAAGGGGATTAACCTCTGATACAGTACTTTGAATGAATTAATGACAGTAAATAAAGGAAGAGTCGGTGTGTTCTTTATCTCTGCCATCCTAAATAAAATGGGAATACGGGCCATAAAATACCCCTACAATCTGCAATAACAATGTTCCTGAGCACATGAAGACTAGTGAATTTTGTGGATAGTTGAGGGTACCCCTTTCCTCGAGACCTAGGGCTGTAATCAGAAGACATGCCTGACCGTGAACCCAACCATCGGAAACCCAAAAACTTATGGTGGCAGGTGGTACTCAAGAACTTTCTTCGGGCAGTACAATGAGTTTTAAATATATTTCATCTCAATATATCACAATTTGGAGGGTGGAAAAGTTTATATGTCCACCTACATTCATCAGGACTGTCATAGGACGGGTACCCTCTCCCAATGAATCGTTTCAATGATCCCAACAGGAAACCAAATCCACCGGGACTGATTTCGGGTCTGTAAGTGTTTCTGAATAACAACACATGACGATGCTCCCGATCAGTCAGGTGATGTAGTGACTGTGAATACCTCCTTTATGCCTATACCAGCAGCACAACTCTCACACCAAGACCCCACTCCATCACATGATATGATTTAACTGTACAGTATTTGAATGAAAAGTATAAAAGCAAAGTGGCAAAAGTCATAAGTGGGAAGGAGGTAAGTAAGCTTAAAAATGGAAAGGCTTCAGGAGTGTAAGGAATCACTGTGGAAATGTAAGGTTGGGAGATGGAAAAAGGACACAGTGGATGACAAGAGCATATAGGTTATACATGACAGGAGAGAGCACTAAAATATTAACTAATAAAAAAAAAGTGTTATATTTCCCCTTCATAAAGGCAAAAATGAGAAGAAAGAATGTAAATACTAATTAAAAATAAATCTGTTGAGTTTACCAAGGAATTCACATAAATTTACTATATGTGTGGTCCACACACTAATAGCACTGTACTAGTGTTTTTAATTTGTTACAAGTTAACAATCTACAGTATTCCCCTTAAAATTCGTCTCTAATTCTTAACACTTTCAATATCTAGATGAACAATCATTGTATCTATCATACCCTACTCTACCCTAACCCTCAATTAGGGTTTTCTTATACAGTACAAAACACACTGCACAAAGCTTATAATAAAATAAAAAAAACAGTAAATTATAGTAGTCAGAATTATTCATTAAGCTGATGAAAGTGAAAATGGGTCCCTTAGACATGACTGCCCATTAAGGACAGTGTGGATAAAGCACACTGTATACTAAGCCTTCGGTACACTAGGAGGCAGTATGGCCAGTACTGCATTGACCGGATTCACTTCCCCAAGTTGTAAACTTAGATACCCATTTACAGCTGGGTGAATTGGGAGTGCCTGGGGATCGAATCACCGACCCACTCAACTGCCGCACTCCGCTGATGATGCAGCTAAAACTGTGGCACTCACTTTCTTCTTCTTCTTCTGCAGTAAGGTCACGGGGATGAGGTTGTGGGTATTCAACATTTGCAGTGTTTTGACGGAGATGGCTATTAACCTGCAAACAGAAAGAATGGTAATGCGAGGGAGTAGCAAGAAATAAGAATTATAATATATATTTTTCTACTCCCTATGAAGAGGAGACTGTATAACTCTGATGTAATTTACATAGGCAAGAGAAGCGAATCAGAAAAAGGATGAATTGATCCTAGAAATCCAATTTTTGAGTATCATCAAACCTACAGGTTTTCAATACTAAAGGAAGTAGGGCTTCTGTGCTCAACATTTCATGTCAATTTTATGGTTTAAGGAACATAAATATGCCAATCATGTAATACAAATATATACTGTACCAATATTACTATTTTTAATCAAGTTGGTGAATAAATATAATTGACTGAAAGAGAAGTAAAATTTTGTACAAATGTGATAATCTACAAAAAAAAAACCTAAGAAATGCACAATTATATAATCAACTTTCATTTGGAAAAAAAAATTCATTCTAAGTGATGCTACTTACAAAATAGACCCATTTTTGAGAGCTTTAGTAATGGAAGCTCTACCTGAGTGACCCTCGCACAGCATTTGGGTTGGGTCACTTCCATGACAGAGCTAAGCTTCAATATTTTACTTCAACTGTATCACATATTTGCGTAAGTTTGTTCTCTGTGTATTACCTCTTGTAACTAGGTATTGAAGATGATGTCTGTAGGCATCAAAACAGAGTCTTTAGTAAAAATTTTTCGTTTAATGTAGCCTTGATTTCCGAAGATGAAATAATACTAATTCTAATAATGAAACTGTCCAACGAATCACTTGAGAAGTATTATAATGGGCACCTGTTCTCGTCTCCTCAAAGCTCGCTCATCATTATGTAGGGCCCATTCCTCTGTGAAACCAGCATCTCCATCTCCAGCCACATGTCCATTTTCTGCATGCCTCCTCCTTGTGGTATCTCCTTCTCTCTGTGCACCAGCTTGGCCCTCCATTGCTCCATCTCCAGCAGCATTTGAGTCATCCTGGTGTCTGCTACGAGAGCTTGAGGCACCATCATTTTCATTATCAAAGGATTTTGCCATGCCCAAAGTGCTGTACATGATGTTAGCTGTTAAATAAAATAATAATAAATAAATAAGAATAAAAATAACACTGTACCATACCTTATGCTAGCATCATCATCATGCCATTTCCCATTAATCACTGTGAAGTAATATGCAAGTAAGAAGGACCAACCTTTTGCATAGGAAACTGGGTTGGTTCTTGGCCAATCTAGTATGCACTAAGACAGTGTAATGCCCCACCAACATTACCTGGCACATAAATTCCAGTCTTTATGATGCAATCATCAATTGAAGTTTCTTTTGGTCATCAATTCAATCTCGTTCTCAACATGAACTGATAAAAACAACATTAAATATATGGTAAACTAATTGTTTGGAGTTTCTTTTGGGCACCAGTCTATTGCCTGAACCCTTTTTTCTTAGTTGTACTTGTCCCTCCCCAACTGCCAATGAAATAAAGATGATTATATATATATATATATATATATATATATATATATATATATATATATATATATATATATATATATATATATATATATATATATATATATATATATATATATATATATATATATATATATGAAAAATTCATACAAACACTTACAAGAATAGATGAGAGCAGGGAATATAGGCTCATTCCTCTCCTGCGCAGTCTCGACCAATATACGCAGTGGGCCCTTGGGAGACAACACAGCGACCAAATCTATGGAGACAAAAGGGTATGAACTGCACCCATCCACCAAAATTCCATGATAAGACTTATCCTGTTCTTCATCTCCCTATCTCTAAAAACTTAAAATTGAACTGATTGACAAGTTTCCTTTGCTGTCTTGAATCAGCTGAAACCTGTACCTGCTTTCTCATCATATATGGGTACTGCATTGTAATTAGTTCTCAGAATAGCAACAGGAGTGCAGCATCGCTATAAAAAGAACACAAAACACCACATGATGGACAGTCAAGTTCAGTGTTTCCAACATGAGGCAAATCAGTAGTTGCAATGTCCCCTTATAATGTTTTTTTATATCAATAAATAAATAAAAAATAAGTAAATAAAAGAATCAAGTCCAATGTATTCTGAATCTCAAACAAATTGACAGAGATTTGTTGAGATGAAGTCTAGAAATGATAGTTACAGCCACCTTAAGTGACTTAAAATATTAGGCATCAAAAGTCACCATTAGGGAATATCTTCCTGAAACAATAAGCAAACAGAAAAAGAAGTTTAGGTATTCTGAATATAAAGTAATTTTATTGAAGCAATGTTAAATGAATATGTTCGCTACTTCCCCAAATGACCATCAAAAGGCAGTTCCTGGCAAAGAATTCCATGAAATAATCAGAGATCCAGTTCACTAAACTTACCCCAGATAGAGATGACAGCCAAGACCATCCAGAGTGTATATTCAGGAAGATACTTGATAAACATGAGGGACATGAGTGAGGCAATGAAGATCAGGTAAGCTTGCTGGAGGCGCAGTGGTCCATGCCAGTGGATGCTCACCATCCCCATCACGCCAAAGTTCCACACACATATAGATACAGTGATCCAGTCCATTCCAAGGTTATACCCACGGAGTAGCTCCCTAGAATAAATAAATAATATATATATATATATATATATATATATATATATATATATATATATATATATATATATATATATATATATATATATATATATATATATATATATATATATATATATATATATATATATAATCAACTGATCAGGGTGTTCTAGAGGAGTTGTATATGTGTGAACCAGGGAGACATATAAGATCCTAGCATTAACTCCCCTTGATTTAAAGTCAGATGAACTAGAAAGAGCTAACTATCCCACCTGCCCTTATTCTGAACCATGGTAAAGGATGATACCCCAGAGCTAGGCAAAACCTGACCCAAAATATATCTAGGTATACTCACATCATATATATTATGGTGAAAATAAAGAGGAGCAGTAAAGAAGACATGAGCAGCCACCCATGGATGATCTGTAATGGAACCACATTATTAATATTTTATTTTGTCTTCTTCCTTGAGTCCTTTTACTCAATAAAGTGGAATTCTCTTGTTATAATTTTACACTAATGGTTGACACTCTATTATACTCTTTACCAAATGTGCTATGAACACATCTTTCTGTTATGTTTATATTCTTACATTTGTTTCTTTTATTCAGAGGAATGATCATATTCCACTTTACTACTCTTCCCCAATTGTACCCATTCACAGCTGGGTGGACAACAGGTTGCCCTGGGCATGAACCTGCAACCTTTATGTAAGAAAGTGAGTATGTACTGTACTGCACTTGGCCAACAGATTAAAGGGAAACTGGATTGGGAAATATATTCCTTTTGAAAAGTTCTCAATTTTTCTTGTAGGGTATTTATGAGTGACTCGGGCAACTGTCTACTCCTAAATTGTTCTCAAATAACTGATGCACGTTATTCAAATTTCAATTTTCATTTAGAAATACCTCAACATATCTTTAAAGTAAGGCATTTAAGGTAAAAATTACTAAAAAACTCTGACTCTGCATTACAGACACAAGGACTCTCCCAAATTTTTATGTCAAATTAAAGAAACTCAGCACTGCTATGAACTAGATAGACAATGACGCCTCACTAATAAGACAAATTCTCACCTTATAACATCGCTTCTTGTAGAGTATTATAAGCACGATGGTTAAAGCAACCACCACACCCAGAAGTATTAGCGCGTTCCTCAAGGCATCATACACTTTATCCCCAATGCTCTGAGACTCCTCATGAAATGGAGTGTACAACCTATAAAAGAAAAAGAAAAATATTAAATTAACTGGTAATTGCAAATTTCATCTATGCCAATGTTCTGTTCAACTGTTGGTTGTACAGTCGATTATAAGCCAAATCAGCAATACTGGATGATAGTTTTGTGCAACTTGGATATTTTTCTATAGAAAATTAATGCTTTCTTACCTCATGAAATGCCCTCAAAATGGTCAAGATAAAGTACATCATAACATTAGTTTTATTATTAAGATTCTTCCCATTCAGAACATATACATAATAGCTATACATAATAGCTTTGTTTCATCTACGGAAAATATCATAAAAAATTTATTATGAAAAACTTATTCCATCCAATTTTGGGGCTTTTCATGAGGTATAAAGTATTTGTGTTCTAGGATTGTCGAAGGCAGTATTGCTGTGATGTATCAAGCTATTTCTTCTCTTTTTTGGTGTTTTTTTTTTATTTTCTTAATTTTTTACACTTCCCTTTATTTTACTATGGTGTACCAGAACGTTGTTCAATTCTTGCTTGCTTAGTAAGTAAATATACTCAAGAATTGTTTCATGAATTTTTTGGGCCTCCGGTCCTAACCCTTTATTATGTATTGAATTTTACGTATTACTATACTGTAGTGATTTTTTACTCAGCGAATGTACTAGTGAAATAAACTGAGACTGCATTATCTACATACCATTTACACAAATATCGTATAGGGTACTTGAAATCCATTGCCATTTGTTAAGAGTAACAACATTCATGCAAGATGACAAAGACTAATACAGTATTATAAATATGATAATGTGTCAGAGAGAGAGAGAGAGAGAGAGAGACTTATAGAAGCTAGGTCTACAATTCTTCATAAAACAAATATTGCTGACATTACAAAATCATACAAGCATGAACGTTACTAATATCTAACCTCCCTAGATTTTGCAAATTCGAACAAAAATACATCTGCATATAAACTTACAAGTAAGTTCCCTTCTCTGTGTAGAATGTAACTGAAGATACAGTGGCAACAACCACCAGCATGCAGAGAGACACAGGGATGAACAGCTTTATCACATGTTGTGCTCCATACTTAAGCTCTTCTTCCTCTTCCTCTACTTCTTCCCATTCTCCAGGAGGATGACGACTTTGCCTGGTTTCCTACAGAGACACTGTGCTTTATATATACAGTATAGATATTATGCCAGTTCACATTAACACTGAGGAAGGATAGATGGTCAGGTGAGAAGGCCTGTCATACTGGCAGTGTCTGGCAACCTCCATCTGCTTCTACAGTAGGTGGGAGGTACTATGCCAAGCTCTACATCTCATGTAAAGCTGTAGATACTTTTCATTGTCCTTTCTGACTACTTCATATACTACTTTATAACAATATTTCCATGTGTCTACAGTATCTCCCTTGTACCACTTTTCTTTTACAGTGCTGTACAATAATGTCCATTAACGTGTTAATATCAATGGAGTCCTGTACTGTAAAATGTTATATTCTTTTCATTTAGATATTGTTATGACTAGAAAACCTAACCTATTCATAATCTCCTTTGAATAGAAATTGTAATGTAATGGAATAGTTAAGTACCTGTACAGTATTTCAGATGAAAGAGTTTGTACAGTACTGGACTCACTGGCTCCCATCACACTCATTAGTGACCATTACACAAAATAACAAGAGAGAGAGAGTATAACGCTGTACTTACTTGTGTAGTCCCTCTTCTAGCTGGGGGTGCACTTCCAGCTGGCTCCTGTTCTGCTCCACCTCCACCTCTTTGGTGTCGTCTCACAACTCCCTGAGGACCATTTTCTTGTACGTGATCGTTTGAGAAGGCAGCATTAGTGTCTAACGCCACACCTCCATCATTCTGCAAATATACTACCATCAGTACAGGTTAAAACAGCCTTTATCATGTGGTCTGACACCATACAATATAACAATACTTACCGTGTTTGTATTCTATCGACTACAATAAAAGTTTTAGTGAGAATCTTACAGGAAAACAACCACTAACATGGTAATTGACATACACTACATCTTTACCTGGCGAAGTATTACCAGACAAAGGGTGGGAGGGAAACACAGGGTTGAGCTAACTTTCTTTATTTCTCTAATGTTTCGGGCTGAAGATTGGTTCTGTGTTGTCCAAAACGTTAGAGAAATATACTGTAGAAAGTTAGCTCAACCCTGTGTTTCTCCCTCCACCCATCAAATCCACTTGTCGTCATGGATGGATCACATTACCAGACAAATTTGTGCTGTACTTCATCAGGATCACATTAGAAATAAGGTAAAATTTTAGTGTCAGTAATCCCTGGATTTTGATATACAAACTAGCTATGTGATTTCTGACAAATATGATGATCCAAATTTTTCCAAACACATAAAAAATAATCGGAAAAACAAAGCTTTGATACCTAACCTAACTGAATTCCCAAGATTCCCCAGATGACCAAAACTAAAATAATACCGAAAATAGAGCATTTTTATTACTTAGTGTGTTATCCTGAGAATATTTATACAGTACGTATATGTATTCATAGGGGAATTTTTACTCAATTAAATTAAATCAAATCAAAGTTGCCATCTAGGATAAGTCAAGGGAGGCAAGTGGTCCTTAACCATCTACACTGCAGCAAAAGGTTACTGCTTCAGATCAACATTTACCCAATATTTTACCCCTAAATTAACACCCATAACAACAGACACTTCGTATGCCAGAGGAAACACATGAGCCTGGCCTTGAGTGACACCTACAAGTTAGAGGAGGTACCTGAGCTCCTGGCTGTATGCTCTGTGTGGGTGGCTGACCTCCTGACGCATCTTCTTGGTTCTGGGATCTCCTTTTCTTTTTCACTCCTTTATTAACACTATCCTCCACAGCTACCACTTTGTCATCTCTGTCAATATTAACGTGGCCGTCCATCAGTAACAGAAGGTACAATTAGCAGAGATATGACAGATGAGTCACACTTTCCCTGTTGACACTGTAGCCTGTGTTTGTGTCGTCAGAGCCACCTGGCGGCGGCGGCCACACTACTCCCGGCCAGCGTTCGTCTAACATAATCCGGTAACTATGACGTAATTATGACGTCAATACTAAACAAACTTTTAAAAATATCAACTATATAATGATATATAATATAGTATAATCAATAAATTATTTCAAAGTAAGGTAATTAGCAGAACAATGTATGGAAAATGGATTGTTAAGTTCAAATAAAGAAGTAATTACAGTATTGTGTTGTAAGCCGTACGTCATCTTAATAATCCAGTGTCATGTAGGTAACAAGTCTTACAACACATCCCATACATGTATCTTTAACTATTTAACTCTCAACTTACTTTATTTGTTTATCACTAGTTTATTTTCTTACCTACAATACGCGCTTAAAATACTTAGTTGTTAAAGTGCAGTACATCATAAAATCAACACTTGAGGTCCCTTTAAAAAGTTAAATTCCCTGTTATCAAGAGATAGCAAGATAATGATATCTGTCCAGTGAACAGGAAGGTCCGTGGATATTGGAAACTACCAGTAATGTAATAATGGTAATAATAATAATAATAATAATAAGGAGAAGAATAACAAGAAGAGTACTGTACTGTAGTATAAAAAATATCAACAATAATAGTAAAAATAATTTAGCATGAACATCTCGGAGCTCTTGACGCCTTAAGTGAACAACAATAATATGCATGCCGAGCACTAAACCTAACCTAACCTAACCTAACCCAGAAGCGGCTAGCGTCTCCAGTCCAGGGTGACTGACGGTCTGGAAAACCCCATCTCTCGTTCTTTATGTCCCATTCCTAATCGATGTCTCCCCCTCTCTCTTCATTTGTGTCCCTGTCTAGATCTTTGTGCCTATTCTCTAGTCCTTTTTGTCCCGCTCCTTAGTCCTTTTTGTGTCGCACAACCCACGCCTCAGTCACACTACCCATGCCTCAGTCACACTACCCATGCCTCAGTCACACTACCCACGCCTCAGTCACACCACCCATGCCTCAGCCACACCACCCATGCCTCAGTCACACCACCCATAGGTAACCCATGTTTCAATCACCACCCATGCTTCAGTCACACCACCCATGCCTCAGTCACACCACCCATGCTTCAGTCACACCACCCATGCCTCAGTCAGTCCATACCACCCATGCCTTAATCACACAACCCATGCTTCAATCACACCACCCATGCCTCAACCACACCACCCATGCCTCAGTCACACCACCCATAGGTAACCCATGCTTCAATCACACCACCCATGCTTCAGTCACACCGCTCATGCCTGTCACCACCCGTACTTCAGTCACACCACCCATGCTTCAGGCATTCCACCCATGCATCAGTCACACCACCCATGCTTCAGGTATTCCACCCATGCATCAGTCACACAACCCATGCCTCAGTCTCACCACCCATACCCCAATCTCACCACCCACACCTCGGTCACATCACCCATGCCATGGTCACACCACGCAGGCCTCAGTTGCACAACCCATGCCTCAGTCACACCACCCATGCTAAAACTAGCCCTCGGGCCTCGAGTACCAAGAGATTTTGGTGAAGTTTGGAGAAAGTTCTCTGTTTTAAGGACGTGGCAAGAAAAAGGCAGCTCAAAGACTTTATTTATCCTTCTTGCCTATTTTCCACAAACTAAACAATACTATTACTGTACTGTATATTTCACACAAAGACTACATCTAAATTTAAAACAAAATATATGTACAATATGCAATAAAAAACTTCATAAACACTACTAAATGAGTCAAGGAACTAGTAGTATAGTTTATAATAATTTTTGTTTATATAAAAGTACATCTTTATTCCCTATACTTATATTTTCCTTCTTTTCAAATAGCTCTTCTCCATTCATTTTACTCTTGTTCTATTGCATTCATTGTACAATAATTACTATTGACCTCAGAATATCTCCTTACATCAAGTGCATATGGCTTCAAAATGCCCATAATATGGTCAGATTTAAAAAAAAAATCTGGGGGGGAATTACAGCGCCCCCATGTTGGGTGGGTTCACTATGCTCGTCATGTTCCCCCACCCACAACTTCTTGGACCCCCTCCTTTTTTATATTCCTGGATCCACCCGTTAGCTCATCTCACACCTGCTGGGTGTGTGGGAAGGCAGAGGCAGTCCCTTGCTCACCTCTCCTAACTACCACAACCCCTTTAACTTGGTGTCACTGGCAGTATTACTTGTCATGTGAGGTCATATCACCTGTGACCTCACATCTACAACCTATCAGATTCATTTGAAATATTGACAACTTAACACCGACTGACTAAAGGCGGGTTGACGGCTTAATGTAGAGATAAATTATGTATGTACTGTACTGTACACTGTTGATAAGCAGCCCATTGACAGACCTCCCTAGTTAAACAAGTACGGGAAGGTGGGGTGTCAGCACCTGACAAATTTCCATCTAGATTTTCCTCCCAAAATATTAGCTTGTCTTGCAAATGCCAGACACATGGGTATTTACTTACTTTTATTCTCTTCACCACTGATCGGCTCGTTAGCCGCTTGGGCGATCGGTCACGTCTCTGTTATGCACTGTTGGCAAGTAATGGGCATGCACCGGCTCCTGAATGTACCTAAACCTGCTCCAGTGTTGGTCAAGTCTGGTCTTGAAAGAGCTCACACTCAGTGCCATCACAACATTTTCTGGTAGATTGTTCCAAGAGTTCACAACTCTCACTCCGAAAAAGTTTGCCCTCACAGTTATCTGGACTTGCGGCTTCTTCAATCTCGAGCTGTGACCCCTTGTGGGGCGAGCGTCCACCAGCTCCGAGTAAGGACACTCGACTGAATAGTGCCCCTTAAGATGCTTATACACCTCAATTACGTCGCCCCTTGCCCAACTGTAGAATAAGCTAGGCAAGTTCAGGCACTCCAATCTCTCAGGGTAGTTGAGGTACCGAAGAGCAGGCACTGCTAATCTTCACAACCTGCTTGATTGACCTTAAAAGTGACTTTGATGTTCCAAACAGAAACACTATTCTTGAACAAAGAGTTAACTTTGGAGTGAAAGGTAATCTTCTTCATTGAATTCGGGGATAACTATGGAACAAGACGTCTTGTGTGTTCTTCTAGGTTCTAGAGGGTCATGGAGCTCCACCAAGGACTTTGAACTTGAGGTGCAGATTAGTTTTGACTGCCTAAATACAAGTATACTGAATGACAGAATGTACAGGTACAGTACAGTAGTTATCATAGTCCACTGGGTGTAGCTCTACCACTATTTCTGAGACATTTCTGCATACAATAAAACAATAACAGAGTACTGTATATAAAAATTTATTAAAGGGAACAATCTCACAAAACATCTGCTATATGTTGCAGGCTATATTAGTAAAACCAAACTCATAAATGCATTATGTATGTAGTTTACAATACTGCTGTAGAATTCCTGAAAAATTGCTTAATGTTGATGAGGGAAAAACATACAGGTACAGGATTTTAAATTTGGGCTAATTTACACTGTATACAAGAACAATATCCCTGAAATATTCATATTTCTGATCTTTCACATGAGATATGAGGCTATATACAGTACATCTCGCAGCCACTTACCCAAAGTTCTGTACAGTACAGCACAATAATGAGCAATCATGCTTCTTCTAAGTTGTCTCTAATTTATTTACCGGTATATATATATATATATATATATATATATATATATATATATATATATATATATATATATATATATATATATATATATATATATATATATATATATATATATATATATATATATATATATATATATATATATATATATATATATATATATATAATATTTTTATTCTACATATTTGAAGTTTTAAAGAGATTGTTATAATGACAATGATAGAAATTGTTTATCTGACCAAAAATTTCTGTCAGCTTCATCATAACAATTTGATCTTAAGATATCTTTATTATAAATGTTTATCCTGTTATATAGAAAGGGACTGTTCAAAATGTTAACAATTTTAAAGCTAGTACTGTACATACTGTACAATATTTAAAGTATGGTACTCTAACTCATGGCCTCCCTTTTTAGTACTGTAAAAATTAATACTTCAAACATATTTTTGTAGGAAAACTAATTTCTTAAACAGCATAGCGTACAGTCCTGTAAAGTGCTGTACTGCACAGAGCTGGACCTGCAGCTTCTCCTCTACCATCACACAACAGTTAGTACTGACTGTGGTAACACCAAGACAATACTCTTCACAAATTTTATCACTGTCATTAGAATTAAGACCATGTGAATATTTTTCTTCATCTGTACAGCAAATATAAATAATAATAATAAATAAAAATAAATAAATACAAACTAAAAAAATATTGAAACCCTTTGTATGAAAGATTCTTTAAGGAGAATTTGGGAAAAATTATCTGTTTGTTGATTCACATCATATTTATCAAACTAAAATAGAAAGGATATTGTTCAATACAAGTACCAGCATTACCAAATAAATACGGTAATCACTATAAATCACTGTACTGTATAATTGTGATTCTGATAAACACTGACAAGATTAGTCAAATGTATATAATAATTTCAGGTAAATGGTGAAGGTCACGTCAAGCTTCCATCCTCATACTACTGTTTCAACAAAAACTAGTGAGTACATTTTCCAACTTCTGAGTACAATAAAAAATTTACATATTTGAAGGTACCTAATACATCCATAACAGTTTTACAACACGCTGTGATACGTTATGAAAAACAACAAGGTAATTCAACACAAAAATGCTGGATGGAAAAGTGAAGGAAACACTCACAGTGGCAGTGTAATGTGCAATATACAGTGCTGTATATTATCTCCACTCATATCAGGAATAATTATCATGAAAATTTCCATTGTCATCATCTGTTACTTGGGCAAGTGCTTAAGAGTAGTGGATGATAATAAAAGCTCTTCTGACTGATTATTGTCATTTACATAAGCACCAAACTGACACTCTGTATACCCTGGTGAGGTAATGCCCCGGGCAAATTTATTGAAAAAATAAGGCAACAAATACTATGTGAGGAGAGAATTATTTACTAACAAACTTACGGTAATAAAGATTGATATACTGTTACATAGAGCATAGTTGGCACACCCCTACCATGTGTATGTTATTATTGCAACCTTCAGCCTATGTTTTCCTAGCCTGAGTAAGTTCTCTTTTGGTCAGATTCAACCCATTTTCTAGTGTCATCTAAATAATTCCACTCATTTTGAAGATATTTTGATAAAAATTAAGGTATCTGACCAAGTACTGTACTACTGCAATCCTCACAGTGTTAAATGCACTTTGCAGGTATTTCATTTATGATTAAATGTAGCATAATGATTCATCAGCTACAATAAGAATTTCATCTTTTGTGATACTGTAAAAGACAGACTAGAGGAATAAGTCATGTCATCAATGGATAAATGGTGATAAGTGCACTAATTAATTCTACTGTAGTGCCAAATATTAAGTTTGAGGCACAGGCTTATGTACAGTATATCTTTTAAAAGGGGTTTTCCACTTCCCCAGCCCTGGGGACCAGAGTACAGTACAATCACACCTCCAGCAAGGTTAACATCCAGTATCCCACAAGGGAAACAAACAAACAAATTTAGTTATACTGCACTGTACAGTAATAAGTGAAAGTATTTTCCTGAACTGCTAAAATATAATTAATAAGTTTCAGGACTGTTAAGCTCTATGTGTACACACTGTTTTGGAACATCAAAGGTAGCCAAATACCTGCAAGTATTGGTATGCTGTTCCCTAAGCTTGATGATAACTAAGACAATATTAACTACAAGCATTTGGAAACTTCCTGTCATAGGTAATTCCTAATAATAACATTTTCATTGCCTGGTGCTGATGTTACCACTACTCTACTTAAACAGTTTGATAACACAACTGGATAAGCTTAAGGTTTGTTACAAAGACTTATATTAATTAATTGCATGTTATACGTCCCCACACACATATAAAGTCTTCAGTGATCTTCACTATTAAACTGTATAATGCTCGGAAGTGTAGAGTTGAAACAGCAGAGAACACTGAAAATGGTGGCCTCTGATAAGCTTTAGACAGTAAATAAAAGCCTCTAATAGTACTATGACTGTAACATCAAGGCAAAGAGGTTTTTCCTTCTACTGTATTCTCAACACAGTGAAAGGCTTGACAAACTGTTGTGGTTCTGTCGTTTAAATGTTTCTACTTTACAGTTTTTTATTTTGGTAGCTACCAGTTGTGGTGTGATGCCTATGTCTAGAACCATAACATGACAGCTGATACTACAGCAAATATTCAGAAGTGTATTTGTCTTTTTAATTCTAAAAAAAAAAAAAAAAAAAAATGCCTTTCTAAAACATGAATGGATGTACAGTAAATCCAAAATAGCTGCCATTTTTCAATATCACTTTAACCAAGTTAGATAAAGTTATGCAACATCCAAGCTTATGTGTTGTGGGATAAAAGCCTGTCGCCATTATGTCCAAACTTCAAAACCTCAGTTAAATTTCTACTCCTCTGTTTTCAAATTATGCAATTCATTGCTATTTAAAGAACAAGTCATCATGACTACAGTACAGTACTGGTCTAGCTGTCTGTTTATACTTTATGACCGAAATCCTTAATACTGTGTACACAAAACCCTCTGAGGCAAGGCAGTAGCAGTGAAGCAAAAGGGACAACACATTAATAACTGAGGGTCATTCATCATAGTTACATCGTAAAGATATTTACGGTAGTAATGAATGAACACATAAATCTAGTGTAAAATGGCATTAGGCATTACTGTTTACATACCTAACATCTCATCTCCAGTTATTAGTTTAAAATGACTAGTACTGTACTTGGAAGAGGCTGTTTACACAATGTTCCAATTACTATGGCTAACAACTGCACATTTAGGAAGTCTCCTCAAGTGTGAGTTGCTGCTGGACAAGATAGTAAGGCCAGTAGACAAGATTGAAGATCAGGAAACCTCCAGGGAAAATTGCACGACAAAGGCGATCAAAAGCACGTGCATAATTCATGTAAGTCTTCGGGGTCTTGCTGGCAGCACCATCCTCATCGACGTCCTGTTGGGTGGTGAAGACAAACATAAGCATTATTCAGGCAGAGTGTATCACTTGTCTGCAACCAATACTGGCTTATGATATTGTAGCTATGTTCTGTACTGTACTGTTGTGACTGACCATCACAGCTGATCTACTACAATACATATAAAAAAAAAAAAAAATGGGAGGAATATGTGATTTTCAATTGTTTAATTTTGACTTAAAGTCTTTTCTTCTGACAGTCAAGGAAACAATATACAGAGTGAGAGACTACAGTATTACCAGAGTTCATTTTTGTAATATGAAAAAAATCTAATACTACAGTACAAGTACTGTACTGTATACAGTACACTGTACTTTTCTAAAATTTTAGAAATGGTATTTAAAGTTACTTGTATGGTCACCGTAATTCAGGTTTTGATTGTGTTTTCTTTTTAAATTCTCAATTCTTGAACACTAATTGATGCACGTGAACCAGCATTGCAAGACTTATTCAATTAAAAAATAATAATAATTCTTACCAGTAAGAAACTACAACAATAATCCCCAATCCTTATAGTTAAATAGTATACTTCTGAAAGCATTCAATGTTCTGGAGATATATACAAAATGCTCCAGAGTACAGTACAGTATAGTATTTTGGGCATGCAATCATAATGATATGGCATGCATCATGCAATGATAAATATTAAGATTTAGTGAGTTGCAGCAATAGCCAAATTACTGTAATTATGCCATACAAATCTCAACTACTGTACTCAAGCGTGACTACCGTTAACTGAGCCACCGAGGGTCAATATGATTAACTGAAAAAGCAGATGACAACTTCGGTGTGCATCTCGTGTTGCAAGCACACATTTATAGCAATGAGACGAGTGTTCACATGCACAAATGAGAACACTCTATACTACACTCTACAACTGTAAACAATACAAAAGAATGTATAAAACAAAATAAAAATCAAACCAAGCGAAACTAAAACTGCCAATGACAGAAAAGATATTTGAATCTATATTGTACAATATTCTGTAGTAATGTTAGTACTTGTTGTTTTCCATTCTCAGCCTCCTTTGTCTCATCTACATGATCACCATCATCATCATCATAATGACATCCCACCTTCTCAGCATCATCAGAGCCAGACAGCTGCAGGGCGTCACGTCACACCAGCAAGGGAACCAACCAACGACACAAAGTTTGAGGATACACAGGAAAGGTAACATTGGTCAAATTAATTTCTAGAAAAAAATTCAAGATGAATTATAACATGATCAATGGTTAATTGATCTTGGGAGAGGTAAAGTTATTGATTTTGGGATGACTTAAAATATACGGTAATAGGAGAATTTATTAGAGTACCAATAAAATGAGAAAGAAAATATTTGGATGACATGCATAGATTGACTGACCTAACATATGTATACAGTACATGGTGAGAATGACCTGACATGCATGGTGTGAATAACACGACATTTGCATGACATGAATGAAAAATAGATATAAGGGAATGTAAGAAATTGGCACAAGGACAACAATAAAGTACTGGGCTTCAAAATAGCTCTTGACCAAATTCTCAAAAACAATGGAGGGATCCTACACTGGCCTCCTTCCCTCTGCATGGCCACTTCTAGTGAGTGGCCATTAGGTAAATAAGGTGATATGTCTTAAACTGAGAGTATCTCAGCAACACTCTGAGTGATGAAGGGTTAGGTTAGACAATGAAAATAAAGTAACAACTTGATGATGTGAGAACTTTATGAAGTGAAAACAACATTTTTTTATGTGAACATATTGACATGTGGATGTTGAATGAAGTGGTGTGAAAACACTCTGGGATAAATATTTTAAGTACAGTATCTGGTAACTTATTTAAATACCACATCAAGTCAACTAACTGGCTTGTAAGTGATGACTGAACTGAAATTTAGGAAAGTATTGACCTGATTCTTTTAAATTGTTGTTGATATCATTTAATTTAATGCTATGGAAACTTGACTTACTAAGGACTATTCTGAGAAAATCATCAACCAGTTACAATAGTCTTACACACTTGTAATATAATAAAAGAAAGTGAAAGTGGGTCCAATAGGCCAGATGGCTCATTTGGGAGTGTGAATATAAATACACTGCACTGTATACAGCTGTACTAAGCCTTTGGTACACAAGGAGGTAGTGTGGCCAGCACTGCACTGTACTCAACTGTAAAGTTAGGTACCCATTGATGACTGGGTGGACTAGGAGTGCCTCAAGGATCAAGTTAGTGGCCCTAAGGACAACAGGTGAGTGCTGCATCCATTCAGCAACTACATTCCTATTCTAATGACACTGTAAATATTAGAGATAAAACTAATAATAACATCAGCACTATCTTAAAAATAAAAATCAATGAAGTCATGCATTTTCAGCTAACACTGCCCTTGAAATTTTAACAAAGATATTATCTATGTCATTACAGTGTAGTATCTATCAACTGAAAAGTTTGGGACCAATGAGACTTCCATAAAATGGATAATTACACAAGGTTTATACTACCGGCATCATGAATGTGTGTCCAAGGAAAGCATGTGATAAACCAGAGCACTTGTGTCAGTTTGGTTATATTATTATCAGTTTCTGCAAATACCTATACAGTATACTGTACTAACTTACTTCATTATTCTCTCACATTTTAAACGTCTAGAAATAAGCTTTTAATGTGTCATCGTTCTCCTACAATCACCATTACTCCTCAAACTCATCTGAGGGCAAGTAGACTCAGCCTATTGCCTGAATACTAAGTTTTTTCCTTAATTACAGTACTGTAATTTCATATAATGTGTGGAAAATTAGACAAAAGTAAGTTATTTCATATTCTTAAATTTCATATGGTAATTATGTTCATACAATAAAGGTTTAGAGTTGTAAGAGAATTTAGACTGCTCAAATATTTCATAAATTGGATCATTTCGTAAAGTAAATATAGTTGACAGTACTTCACTTTACAGTACTGTACTGTATAATGTAAACAAATATCTTCTCCTCTGAAGACTGAATCCAAGAGCAATGTTACTGAGTCACATCAAGTCCACAAAGTACTCAACAAAGATCAAGGCTACAAAACATCACCTTTTACAACTAACTCATTTAAATATAAACTTGCTTCACATTTTACCATACAGTCAATATTTGAACCAAAGATCTAAATATTAATTCCAGGTACCGGTAGTAATTTTTGTGAGTGTGACAACTGCCATTTACTGTGGTAGTTCTAATCAAGGAAACTTTATGTTCTTCCACATGGGATCTAACAGCAAGGTTTAAGAATGGAAGTTTATTAAACAGTGACTAATATTAGTTATATGCACAGAGTGACTGGCAGAGGAATGCACAGTGAGACATACTCAAAGTGCAGAGTAGAATTTGAGAAAACAAACAAATAAAGCGTTCCTGGCCCATCAAGGCTTTCTTGTAGGCTACCGCCATTGATACACTGCCTCAGATTTAAACCATAAGCGGAAGCTTTATAAGCCCCATAAATCTCTTATTATGGATCTATTTAATCAAGTACATTAGTGTGTGTCTATCAACTTCTTAACATATATAAATAAAAAGGGGCTACAGTATTCCATCTAGTCAAGCGATTGCACCACCACCATCTACAAGTCACCCTCATGCTTCTAATTATTGGTGACACATGGTAATGTTAGCAGAAGGGGACAAAAATGAATCATCAGCTAAGTAAGAAAGTCCATACAACTCGACCCACTTTCACTACTTTACCAAGAACTGTCTACTCTCAGTTTCCCCTACTCCAAGGAGTTACATACTGTACTGTATTAGCCACTTATACAATTAATCATCCCACCAATTATTTAAAATTAGTACAAGTATACATGTACACATGTACTATCCACTGAACAAGATTCATTACATACACATATCAATTATAAAATATACATTACTTCTATTCCAGCCATTTTTTGTTTTAGCTCTCACCTACAGTTGACTTCTTTTATGAATTCTCTATCTCCTCTCACCACTCACTTCTGTAGTAGGATACCATCCCATCCTTAAGCAGCTAAAATTATAATCTTATGCTTCCAGTCTCTAGTAAAGAAGAATTCCATCAACTCCTTGTAAGTTAATCCAGCTTCTCCAGTACACCAAGTTACTGTCACACCAACCAACAGCCAACAGAGACAATATCCAACAGGAATTACTAATCATGAACTATTAGAAAGTTACTAATCACTAGTTTGGTTACCAGTCACCAATCAAGACCAAGACGAGAAACAACCACATCAACATCGATATACAGTATATATATATATATATAAACTGGAGCAGAGACGTGTATAAGTGGAGGCAGCATGCAGAGAAAACTTACAGCCTTAGGAATCTTGAACATAGTCTGGCGATGGCTGACAACTTTCTTGTTGGCCAGCCAGTTCACAAAGGTGAACTCCAGTAGGGCTCCAAACACCATGATCATGCACATCCCAATCCACACGTCAATAGCCTGCCAGAAAAAAAAGAGCATAATAACAGCACAATACATTAAATTATAGATACCAGATAAAAAATACCAAATTTGGGTATTGTGGAAATGCTAATAGAGCACAGTATTAACATATAATGTATATTGTCTAATCTGTCAAGTTTATGGTCTACTCAGAAAAAATCAGTTGGATATTGAAATTGCAGACATAACTATAATCACACAGATTATGAGTCTTTAATATACAGTTTTTGTTAAGTTTTCCCTTGCAACTCAAGCCCATCTGTACATTCGCTCTAAAAGGTATCTTTACGGAGGGGTCCAAGGAATTTCAAAATGATCATCGCGATTCCTGTTGTCTCGGTAGGGTTGTCATACTGTCTCACACAAAATCATAAAGATAATTTTTGGAGTGAGTATACATCCAAATTTGTATCATCTCACAGGATGAAAATTATGCTTAAATCTCACATGGAAGTACCTGTACAGTACAGTAATCTAAGGTTGGGTTTGTAATGTGATAACAGAAATCATAATGGGTGCATGTGAGCTTTAGTGGTAATTATGTTAGATATTGACAACTGCAATGAAATGAGGAGATTAATTTACAGTACCATACTAAACATGTATATTTCTTTTCAATGTTCAATTATTATTGTTGTCACAAAATAGACATAAATTTCCTATATATCTGTATATACTGTATATTAAGATAACTTACCATGAGGCAGGTCGTGAGAAAGACATAACCTTTGGAGCAGAACATGGGAGAACATACCTTAACGTAGGATACAGGAGGAAGCTGAGCTCGGATGCCGGAGGCGAGGGTGGTGAGAGTGAGAAGGGTGGTGACTCCAAGGGACACTCGACCAGGCACAGCATTGGGATCCAGCCAGAAAGACACCCATGAGATGGACACGATGAGAATGGTGGGGACGTAGGTCTGAAGGACGTGGTAGCCATTCTGACGTCGTAGCTTGAAGTTTACCCTTAATGCACTGAAGTTACCTGTGATAAGACAACATTAGGTGTCATATACAGTACAGTAACAACCTTAGTCATAACTGCAGGAGTGGGGTAATTTCTAGGGCTACTCACATTTCTCTTATACAGTATTATACTGTACTATTCTTTCCCTCAGTTTAACACACAAAAGTATTCCTTGGAATGCAGCATGTAACTCCATATCGCTGGCAGATTATGCAGATACTTGTCCTGTGTTAATTATTGATGCAGCTATATAATGTCAGAGAGGCAGTCACTCCTGTTGCCATCATGCAGTTCACGTGTGCATGGTAGACCATATACCTGGTAGTGTGACAGATGTGGGTATGACTTTTTATTTATATCAGGACACCAGATTGTGTTTCATTTACTTAACTGTTGCTTTAACTGTAATTTTAGGTGTTGGTGGTAGAGTAGTAGCTCACTTACCTCTCACTACAGCATCCTGGGTCAACTATGTGAAGGGTGTTATCCAGTGTGACCAAACCAAACAAGACAGGTTTTCTCTGGTTTCTCCAGTTTCCTCCCATACTAACACTGGCCAATGAAAGGGATTAAACAATCCACCAGCTTCCTTTCCCCACCAAAACGATTACAGTATTTAAATCAATAAAGTACAGTACTGGGTATATATTTTCATAATAGAATTCAGGCATATGGAAAAATTCTGGAAAAACTCTGTCAAAATTAGATTTGAAAATAATTCATTAACATATGCAGTTAAACAAATATTAATATGCTGAAACAAAAAAAACACAGCTTGTTAACAAATGACAATGAACCAAGTATGAATAATGACAGGTAATACAGTACTGCAATGACCTGTGTGAATTTCTTATAGCTTTACTTTACTTCATCATCTTTGCTACTGATTGGTCTGCTAACTTCCTGGGCAGTTGATCACATTTCTGTTATGCACTGTTGGCAAGTACAGTACTGGCTCCAGATGAAAAGGTCACATTGGTAACATAGATACACAAACAGGGCCGGATTTACCAATAGGCCAAGTAGGCCATTGGCCTAGGGCCCACCAGTATCTGGGGGCCCACTGAAACAAATTTGTCGCGCAGCTTGCCAGCTCGCTCAGCCAGTCAGTATCTTCTCAGCCTCAGCTCAGAGTGAATGTCTACTCAAAAATAAAGAAGCTGTTTAGCTTCCTAACAGAGTATGACAGCATGAAATATGATGATCTCAAAGCCCAACTGGAATTGGTTGTCAGTACCTATTCCAGTGACCTGGAAGCATCTGTTCTAGATGAGTTTTTGCAATTTAAAGACATTTTGTCTTCTGAATCTGACAGGTCAGTGACAAACATCTCCACTTTGCTGAGGTCCAAAGATGGTATTTTGACAACTGCCTTTCCAACCATTAGTATCTTGGTAAGAATTTTCCTTACCATCCCCATTACAAATTGTGAAGGAGAGAGGTCTTTCTCTACTCTATCTCGGGTGAAAAATCACCTGAGGTCTACCATGGGACAAACCAGATTAAACTCACTTTCATTATTATGCATTGAATCTGGCCTCCTACAATCCCTTGACACAAACAGTATCATTGACAAATTTTCCATGAAAAAAAGTAGGAAGAATTTACAGGTATTTTGAAATTCAAACAGTTTGCTGTACTACAGGTGCTTGCAAAATTGATTATGCTTTAAGTTAATTGTATTTCTTTCATTATTCCCATATATAAGATGTACATGATATAGAACTAATTTGATTAAAAGTAATGATGTGTCACATTGTGTTTAAATTCTTATTTCTTACATTATAATATTATGATATTATGTAATATTTGATGACATTTGGCCACTGCAAAATAATTACAGCAAAAAAAATTTCATTATATATATATATATATATATATATATATATATATATATATATATATATATATATATATATATATATATATATATATATATATATATATATATATATATATATATATACTGTATACAGTATATATATATTGATTATTGAAACATGCAAACATTTCTATAAATTTGGGGGCCCACTGATGAGCTTGGCCTGGGGCCCACAAGTAGGTGAATCCAGCCCTGTACACAAACATCATGGACATCCTTTAAGGTAACAAGAGAGAGAAGCCTTAAGTAACCAAAACATGAAAAAATATATTTAGACTAATACCGAAAGATACTAATTCCTTATCAGGCAATATGTGAGAAGCTATTCCGTGTCAACGTACTGACCTGTCACAAAGACCTGGGTGTCATCCTCGGTGTTGGTAGCCATGAGGTCAAACTGAGCAATTTCAAGCTCATCTGGCAAGTCTATTGGTCTTTCCTTCACCCAGTCATACAGGATGACATCTTCGGTGTTGGCATCTGGGAATATAGAATGTTTAAAATATAAGAAATGAACTTTATTGCAAAAACGTGTGTATCGTTGGTTGTTGTACTTCAGCAGAGATTGTACGTTGAGTATTCTGTCTACACTTGGTCAAAGGAGGTATTTGTTACATGTAAATAAATGTCTGTACAGTGCCTAGCTCACTGACCTGGGTCATCTGGGAAGTGATTTGGCAGGATCCTCGTGTATAAGAGCAAGACATGTGCTGACTGGTCCTCATCCACCAACATATACACTGGTATTCCTCCTGGTATTTCCCTTAAAACAACTACTTCAACTTAACCAGAGCCTAACTTATTTACTATCTAAATGATCACATATAAAGGGCAAAGTGGATGAGCTTGGTCACATGGCAAACTTAACATTTGTGTGTCCTGGGTGTCAGAAACTTGAGAAGCCCTTGCTTACCTGGTGGTGATATAGCTGTTGGAGAGAATGGTTGATACAATTGTTGGAGATTATGGTGGTGATACAATTGTTGGAGATAATGGTGGTGATAAAACTGTGGGAGACACTGGTGGTGATACAACTGGTGATTTTAGGCTGAGGACTAGTTATAAATAATAATTTATGATATGATTGTCCATTTTAAATAACACGGACACCAGATCACACACTACAATGATGATAATGATGAAGATGGCATAGTATTACTGGTATAACAAGTACTGTATAGTAATATCAATGGTAATCTAAGATTAAGCAACACGATGCAATTACAGTATATAGGAGACTAATAAGTGCTGAAGCGGGCAAGTTGCAACTGAAGTCTCCCAGCATCAAGCCATCTACATATGTCTTGACGTGGATAACATTTAACCACGACTTAGGTAAATATCATAAAGAAAACTGAACACATCAATAGTAATAAAAATGGATTCAGTGTGGCGATGCAACATGCAGAAAAGCGTCATGTGAACGACCATGAAGGAGCAGCTACTGACACACACATCACTAGCATCCCTCCACTCGTTATCTAACCTTACTATCAAGACTTAACGCCATTGGTTCATGCTCTAACTACAACTCAGTGGATCTTATGAAACTAGGGTGTCTGTCTACCTGCGACACTATTACATGTTTAAAATCATAAAGATGTCCTCAACACTACTTCAGCAGCTAGTTGACAGAACTTATCGTTTTGACAGCTACAGTTCTAACAGACCCTAAACTGGGTCTTCCTCCTGGTGATTTAGTTCAGATTATATTAAGGCCAAAATAGGACTGAGGGCCATGTGACTGGTGACACTCCCAGGTGAGGGTGTCAACAAACAATACTGTATCTTATAAGGTGGCGTAATGTGTGGTGGAGGGGCCGAGGGAAGCTGCGTCTTGAAGGCTAGTATGCGGATTAAGTTAATATGCACCATGTTAACTTTCCTTACTTGCCCTCCAATGTACAGTATACAGTGGAAGGGCAAACTTTAAAGATTTTGCATTTTATATTAAACTTTATAAATAGATAACCTTCACTAATTTGTTAACTTTGTTAAAGGTAGATTCCCAATGTATGTGATTACTTCAGCTATGTTCACCTGAATGACTTTCTTATTACTGAAAATAACGTTTATTAGCGACAGTAATTAATTTTCGATAAAAGATAAAATGCTGCTGTTACAAATCTATGTCGTGTTGCTTTTGGGCGAAGATTTCAGAGACTGACATTAGTTTACCTAATTAGTACAATTATTAGATAAAAATGATCTCACTAAGGAATAAAGTGTGTGTGTGTGTGTGTGTGTGTGTGTTGTACCCCCCTCCTTCCCCGTCTTTCCACCGATACAAAAATATATTATACTTCAAAGCCTCAGAAGCAAGATTAGAATGTATTTCTACCCGGTCGTATATAAATATCGTAATCTTTACTTTGATGCCGCCAAACAAACAGGAACCAGACATTTATGAAAGGGCAGATTTTTACCGTAATTCACATTTGCCTCCAAAAGTACAGTCAGTTACTATGCAGTAACTTTCATATTTCCTTTGTTTGTAAAAAAAACATTCTATTGATATCACATTTAAAACTATTTTTCTTTTGGAGTATTTGTTTAAATTTATTCTTCTTGGATTTTTAGGCGAAACACTCTTAAGGCCATTTTATAGCATCTCACACTTGCAGGAATCAAAATCTGCAAAAAATTTAAGCTCACACACTCTCAGAAAGAAATTTTTAGGTAAAATCACTCTTGGAAAAATAAATTGTGATCAAACTCAATAAATCAAAAGTTTTGAAAACCAATTTATTTGAGATATTAACCTTGGAAAGGAACAAAAATATATAGCAAGGTCCACACAACTGTTGGTTAAGTTAGGTGAGTGAGAGCATGAAGAAGAGGCGGGTTTAGTACTCACAGGAGCTGATGGAGGTGCCACACTCCTGGGCGTCGAAGGGATAGTGTTCAAACTCCATACTGCAGGCAAGCGTCAGCGTCACCCTGGGTGGAGGATAGACCAAGTTGAGCACCCAGCCCAGCCCCACCCACACTGCCGCTCATGGCCGCGCCGCCCATCGAAGGAGGGAAGGACTCGGAACTTCCTTGCTTGGTTCTTCTTGCCCACTACCTACAGTCTATTCATTTTGGATATGTAAAATAAGTACCGGCCACATTCTCTCACATGGACAGTGACAGTGAAGACTGGCTAATTTACAGCAGCTTATGATTTTAATGTTAAGTTGTAGTGATCTGCTATCGATGACAAAGGAAATTATGAAAGTCTCAAGCCATATTATTTGTCTGTCTAGAGAAATTATATAACAGCCTCTTCCCTTAAAGGCTCCCTGCTTTCCATCACGCCCCAAGTCGCACCGGACGAGTGGTGCTGTTTATTTGTTGATTAAGTCATTTAATGAGAAGTCCTGGACAGTAAAGAAGCAGTCAGCTTTTTCTATGTACACGACCTGGCAACACTTTGATGCTGGCGTAAGCTGGCGACAGTGTTACCTAAGCTGATAGATGTTTACATGTCACCAGTGGCCTCAATCATCTTCAATATCTAATATACTATAGGAATAGCCGTGTCTGTCTGTCTGTTCTGGCCAGCCGAAACGGCACAATCGTTTTTCATCAAACTTGGTGGAAAATTCGCAAAAAAATCGTAGAGTGGAACAAACCTGGTCCCATGTCGATGGTTTCTTTAGGAAGGCATTAATTAACCATTTTATTTACGCTGGAAAACGATGCAAGTCTACGGACTTGGCGCACCCTCATTCGCTGTACGCTGTCAGCCGGACGGCGGTTGTGTGCTAGCCAAGCACGAGCGTTCAAACTTTCACCGGGCACGAATGGCCCGCGATCACTTGTATCTACTATACTATGAGACTACAGCATTGGTCAGCAGCATTTGGTACCACTGTTGTTGGCTATTATTCTATTAGTACACTGTTGTGGTCCATAAGAAAGAACACAATGGAATCTGACAGACAATTAACGATATCAGTGAAGTCAGTTAGTTGTGAATGTTGATTTGGAAGATTTTCATTTATGCGTCACGGGAGCTGAATCCGTTAAAAAAAATTCTATCCAACCAATCACAAGACCACATGAGAGACGGTGGGCGGTGCTTATTTAACATATCCAAAATGTACAGACTATGGCCCTCACCACCACCCTGCTGCCCACTACCCACGCCCTCACCACCACCCTGCTGCCCACTACCCACGCCCCCACCACCACCCAGCTGCCCACTATCCACGCCCTCACCACCACCCTGCTGCCCACTACCCACGCCCTCACCACCACCCTGCTGCCCACTACCCACGCCCTCACCACCACCCTGCTGCCCACTACCCACGCCCCCACCACCACCCAGCTGCCCACTACCCATGCCCCACCACCACCCTGCTGCCCACTACCCACGCCCTCACCACCACCCTGCTGCCCACTACCCACGCCCTCACCACCACCCTGCTGCCCACTACCCACGCCCCACCACCACCCAGCTGCCCACTCACGCCCTCACCACCACCCTGCTGCCCACTACCCACGCCCCTCACCACCATCCTGCCCACTACCCACGCCTCACCACCACCCTGCTGCCCACTACCCACGCCCTCACCACCACCCAGCTGCCCACCACCCAGCTGCCCACTACCCACGCCCCCACCACCACCCTCCTACTCAACACCCACCATGCCTCACCACCAAATGACCATCAGATTAAGGTAATATATTTTGCACTGTTCGAAATACAAATGTTTCAACACAATAATATCCGCCTCTCTCCTCGTCTCCTCCACCACACATTCCTTACTTTTTTTTACTTTTATCCTCTTCGCCACTGATCGGCTCGCTAGCCGCCCGGGCGATCGGCCACGTCTCTGTCACGCACTGTTGGCAAATACTGGGCATGCACCGGCTCCTGAATGTACCTGAACCCGCTCCAGTGTTGGTCAAGTCTGGTCTTGAAAGAGCTCACACTCGGTGCCGTCACAACACTCTCTGGTAGATTGTTCCAAGAGTTTACAACCCTCACACCGAAAAAGTTTGCCCTCACGGTTTTCTGGACTTGCGGCTTCTTCAATCTTGAGCTGTGACCCCTTGTGGGGCGAGCGTCCGCCAGCTCCAAGTAAGGACACTCAACTGAGTAGTGCCCCTGAGATGCTTATACACCTCAACTAGGTCCCCCTGCCCGTCTGTAGTATAAGCTAGGCAAGTTCAGGCCCAATTCTCAGGGTAGCTGAGGTGCCGAAGTGCAGGCACCAGTTTGGTGGCCCTCCTTTGAACATTTTCAACCAACTGACAGTCCCTAGCATATCTCGGGGACCAGATGGGGTGACAGTACTCCAGATGGGGGAAGACTTACCCTGAAGATCGTCACGAGGGACGGACCGTCTAGATATCTGGAACGACCTTCTTATAAGACCCAATAATTTATTTGCCTGATTTACCTTCTTCTCACAATGGCCCGAGAACTTCAGCTCATTGTCAACATACACACCTAGGTCCTTCTCACACACAGTCTCAACGAGTACATTTTCTTCATCCCGTTGGGACATATGATATGCCTCCTTACCGTTGGTACGCCCCAGGTGCATCCTCTTACACTTCGTGACATTGTTGTTTATTTTTCAAGTTCTAATTGTTATTAAGTATCGTTCGTAAGATTTTTAATTTCTACAACATGTGACTAAAAAAAATGCATCCTGTTTGTGTGTGTGTGTGTGTGTGTGTGTGTGTGTGTGTGTGTGTGTGTGTGTGTGTGTTTATTATTTATCTTGTTTTCTTTGTTTTTGTCTCCAAGTTTACTATAAGTTCTCTTTTATTATGTCTACGTTTTTACACTTTTCACGGTAGTCATTTCTGTCTGTTTTTCTTCTTTCATTTTAAATTTCTCTTCGTTTTTCAAGCTGGACCATCTGTGTACCGCTGGACCAGACCTGGACCATCTGTGTACCGCCAGCTGGACCATCTGTGTACTGGACCATCTGTGTACCGGACCAGGTGGACCATCTGTGTACCGCCAGCTGGCCATGGACCATCTGTGTACCGCCAGCTGGGACCATCTGTGTACCGCCAGCTGGACCATCTGTGTACCACCAGCTGGACCATCTGTGTACCGCCAGCTGGACCATCTGTGTACCGCCAGCTGGACCATCTGTGTACCGCCAGCTGGACCATCTGTGTATCACCGGCTGGACCATCTGTGTACCACCAGCTGGACCATCTGTGTACCACCAGCTGGACCTCCTGTGTACCGCTAGTGCTAAAAATCTCCCTCGCCGAAATTTAGTTGCCGTGAACAGTGACGTTTATTTACGTTAAAGATAATTTACCGGGTCTAATTAATCTGTTATACTAAGAATTATACATCAAATTTTACTCACACACACACACACACACATTCCATCTAATTTATTGAGATTAGTAACGAGATCCAATCATCGCCATTTTTATTCTACCACTAGCCATTACCACAGTCTATTGTGCTGCGTCTTGCTTTATCAACTACAACACCAAACATCTCAACTTCAATCTACAGAGTTTGAGGGACAGTAGAGAGAGTGTGTGGTGGAGTGTGAGGCACTGGGTGTGGTCAGAGATACAGGTGTGTGAGGCACAGGGTGTGGTCAGAGATACAGGTGTGTGAGGCAGAGGGTGTGATCAGAGATACAGGTGTGTGCTGAGAGACCAAGAGAGGAAGTCGAGGGCGGCTCCGGCAGCGGTAAGCCTCACACGGTGCTGGGCTAAGGCGATGTGACCCGGCCACTTCACCGCCTGGGTCAGCCGGGTCAAGAACATGTCCAAAAAAGGAGGTATAAAGAAACAAGTGAAGAACAGTAATAAAGAAGAAGCCGTAGGTGGGTGCTAGTGCAGGTGGTGAAGAAGGAAGGGTTACTTACAGGAGGCGAGGGCTGTGCTACACCACTGCTCGTCAAATGGATAGTGTTCAAGCTGCAAGTTGCAGGCGAGCTTGAGGGTCAGCCTGTCGACAAGAAGTTTACACCGTCAATAGCGTGGCACACCTCACCCGCGCCCTCCACTCGGGTGGCTGCCTGGGGGAGGGGGGTGAGGTCCCTCCCCACATGGCACAAGGGGAGGGAGCAGGTGGGGTGGGTATATGTCAGCTGGAGAGGGACAGTAAGGAAGCTTCTCCTAGTCAAGGCATCAAGTTACAGCCGCTGCCGTATATAAAGCTTGGTAGCACTGCAAGTAACTGGTTAAGTAACAGAGGGGTCACAGTAACAGAGGGGTCACAGTAACAGAGGGGTCACAGTAACAGAGGGGTCACAGTAATAGAGGGGTCAAACAGTGGTAATGCAACAAGGAGTATAGCAGCGTTACCAGGCCCGGCTGTCGTCTGTGTGGGGTCCCTGAACCTGTTAGTCTGTTACACCTTGACACAGAGGAGAGAAAACAGTCACGTCCTGAGCCTGCCTGACTGACTGACATGAGTAAGAAGATGTTATTCACGTTCCCAGATTTGAACAACAAAATTTTTCACAACATGTCAAGTAAGTCGCCGCGGTATCTAGACGATATAAACAACTGTGAGTAGTTAGCGGGAATATGCTGACCCTAATCTCCTGTGAGGCGTGTAGGTGTGTGGGTGGGGTGTGATAGGTGTGTGGGTGGGGTGTGGGTGGGGTGTGAAAGGCGTGTATTGTCACCATCATCACCATTTTGTGTCACCATCATCCCCCCAGATCGTTTTAAACATGTGGTGTAAACAGAGCAATACAGGTAAACTAACACCTCCCCACAAGCAACAGGTGTGCAACTAAGGTATGTTATTGTGGTGCCATAAATGACAATATGTGGTGTAGTAGCATATATTTACATCCTCATTACTATCGTTGTATGTATGTCTGTCTACGTAAAGTAAATATGGTGCTCTAACACTCTCAATATGTGGCCACAATCATCACATGCCAAGGCAGTCCCATCACCAATACAACTTTCATGTTAGTGGCATCATCATCAGAATGTGGTGCTGGGGTAGTCAGACGCTGGGCCACACCATCATAACAGTGTGGCGCCAACAGGACAGGTATTGTATGCAATAATTTAGGAAGAACTGGAAAACAAACATAACTGATTATTAGAGATAGTATAAACCTGTTTTATATACATACATACATACATACATACATACATACATACATACATACATACATACATACATATACATAGTGTAAAAAGAAAGCATCAGCAAGCAAGTATAGTTGTTTGTTGAGAAGTTGGAAAACAAAAGATAATTAAGGCAAATAATAAACATATACACTAACAGCTGATCATAATGGTGTTAATACCGGGTTATGAAAAAAAAATTCTTAGTATAAATGGAACAAATTGTACAGGATATTAGTACCACGTTTATTATGAATCACATTAATACGACCTGTATCTGAGGTATTAATGGCGGCGGTCACTGACGTATTACAAGCGAGAAAGGGGGCAGCGTTAAGCAGTTTTAATCACGGATAAAATAAGAGCTTTCTAACATTCATCATTTACACACACACACACACACACACACACATTCCACTGAGAGAGAGAGAGAGAGAGAGGGGGGTAAATGAATGCTGGCAAGTCCATTCCGTAGACTTTCAGACCCTGCCGTTTAGGTCAAAACTTTTAGTTGGGTTAGGTTAGACCCCAGGTGAGCATGGTGGTGGTGAGGAGGTGGTGGTGGTGAGGGAGATGAGTGGTGGTGAGGAGGTAGTGGTGAGTGAGGGAGAATTGAGTGGTGGTGAGGAGGTGGTGGTGGTGGGGAGGTGGTGGTGGTGAGGGAGGTGGTGGTGGTGAGGGAGGTAGTGGTGGTGAGGGAGGTGGTGGTGGTGAGGTAGGAGGTAGAGGTGGGTGGAGGTCGTTAAGTTTATACCAAAGCTGTACACTCAACACTTTATGACGTTAAATACTGATTCACCACAAATACAATAATTAAATTTATTCTTTAAAATAAAATAAAATAAAGTATTATCTATATATAACAAAAACAAAGATATAAAATTCAGAAAGATTAGTAATTTATTTACCCAAGGAATTATGGACTCAGTATATCACAAGCTTAGGATAATATTTTTTTAATATGTTGATAAGAAGAATTAAGTCTACGTTGATGGAAGAAAACGCAGCTGTACCTGTAACTGATCCACAAGTTCAGGTAATGACTGTTTCTGGCGCCACCCGACACCAGATCACGTCAAACCAAAAGCTCTTGAACAGCAAAATCAATAAACAATATTTAAGAAAGTGAGGAATCATTGCTTGAGTTTTAGGGGGGGGGTTGTTTACACTTGTCTGCGTGTGGACAGCCGGGAGCCAGGCGGGCACTTCCCCTCACTGTGCCAAGTAAAACACTCGTCAGGCACCAGCGGCACTGAGCCACACACCTTCATCTTGTACACTTTATGACCTGTGAGAGACGTGGCACGCTAATCAAAATGGCCACAAGGCACTGAGAGGGCGTTCAACATTTAGGGAAGTTATGTGGAGGTCCTCAGTCTTCAATACACACACACACACACACACACACACACACATATATTATGATCAATTTTCAACTATATATTATATATTTTTCCGCTTTATAAATGGGTCAGGTAGAGAGGAGATCAGGGTCGGTGTGGAGAGTTGATCCGTGAGGGGAAGGAAGGAAGGAAGGAAGGAAGGAATGAATGAAGGAAGGAAGGAAGGAAGGAAGGAAGGAAGGAAGGAAGGAAGGAAGGAAGGAAGGAAGTAAGTATACCTGTAGTGTCTACTAACGAGGAGGTGGGTGGAGGAAGACGCCGACACAACGCCTGAACAACACACAAAACAACAGTGAGATAAATCGAGTCAATTATTACACACACACACAATTATTTTTTATTATGAATGAAAACAAAAAAAAAATAACACGAAGCAATTTTCTACTTCTCAAAAAATCACAATATTTAGTTATTCTAATTTTTTAACGAATTTTGCATAATATAAATAACAGGAAGTAATTTTATATTATATTATAAATGTAAAAAAAAAATAAGTTTAATAATTTTTAGCAGGAAGCAATTTTTTGTCCACCTTTAAAAACTTATGTAAATTGTTGGGTGAAAAGAGATTAAAAATATGTTTACCTTACCTTAATTAATGGAGAGGAGGAGGAGGAGGAGGTGTTGTGTTGTCAGCCGTTAGTGTCAGCAAGAGTCAGCAATGGTGGTCAGGAGGCGTCAGCAGAAAGAAGGAAGAGTCAGTACAGAAAGTAAGTAGTGTCAACTGTGGTCTGGAGGTGTCAGCCGAGGTCAGATATAGGCAGGAATCGTCAGCAGAAGTCAGAAGTCGTCAGGAGAAGTCAGAGATCGTCAGCAGAAGTCAGAAGTCGTCAGGAGAAGTCAGAGATCGTCAGCACAAGTCAGAAGTCGTCAGGAGAAGTCAGAAGTCGTCAGGAGAAGTCAGAGATCGTCAGCACAAGTCAGAAGTCGTCAGGAGAAGTCAGAGATCGTCAGCAGAAGTCAGAAGTCGTCAGGAGAAGTCAGAGATCGTCAGCAGAAGTCAGAAGTCGTCAGGAGAACACCCACCTCATGCTGAGGACGTCACCGTTGCTATCATAGTCATAGGGGAGAATATTGGGCATCAAATCACCTTGTGTATCTCGGCGTCCTTAACGTTGTTGAAATTATGTAATCAGGTTTCAGATCTTAGCCTGCATCTGTGTGGAGTGGTAGGGGGGGGGGGAGGGAGAAGGAGAGTTAGTGTGTGTTATCTCTTTCTCTATCTCTCTTTCTCTATCTCTATCTCTTTCTCTCTCTATAAACATACCATATTTTCGCCAGTCTATTTCTGTGTTGGCTGCCCACCTTACGTCTATATATACCCCACCCCTTACCACCACCCACCCACCCACCCAACCACTCACCCACCCACGCCACCCATCCATCCACTGTGTGTGTTTGTGTGTACCTGTGCTTAACTGTGTGTATCTATATGTCCCTACAGTATGTGTGTGTGTGTGTGTGTGTGTGTGGTTTTGCATCCCTGTTCTGCACACCGTGACACACCTTGGCAGCAGCTCCCGGACACATTCTTATCTACGCTTATAAACGTGTGTGGATTAACAGAGCTGGCGTGTGGCAGGGCAGGGCAGGGCAGGGCAGGGCAGGGCAGGGCAGGGCAGGGCAGGGCAGGGGCTACCAGATGAAATTTACCTTCCCATCAACACTATCTCCGGTAAAATTATCTATCTATCTATCTATCTATTATCACTCCTCTCTTAAACACCATACAATCAGGAGAGAGAGAGAGAGAGAGAGAGAGAGAGAGAGAGGCAATACTCACAATGGGGTCGGTGATGGTGAAGTGGGCACGTGTATTGTTGAACATCAGACGATGGTCATTCCAGTATTGACGCAGGAACACATCGATGCTGTAGTCCTGTAAACACCACAGCCATATTAATTACCACACCTTGCTCATGGCTACTACTACTACTACTACTGCTACTACTACTACTACAGAGAAAGGGTACTGACCATATTAGCAGCGTTAAGAGAGCCGAAGGAGTTGATGAACATCTGAATCCCCACCGTCGTCGGCTCTGTCAGGAGAGAGAGGTTAGGTTAGGTTAGGTTAGGTTAGGTTAGGTGTAAACAAATGTGTCCTATAACGTACTCGTCTATAGTGTTCCCTTGACCCATAATGTGTGTTAAAAGTGTACATGATAGTATAAAGTGTACATTAATAGCCACGATAACAGATAAAGTGTACATTAATAGCCACGATAGTAGATCAAGTGTACATTAATAGCCACGATAACAGATCAAGTGTACATTAATAGCCACGATAACAGATAAAGTGTACATTAATAGCCACGATAACAGATAAAGTGTACATTAATAGCCACGATAACAGATAAAGTGTACATTAATAGCCACAATAGTAGATCAAGTGTACATTAATAGCCACGATAGTAGATCAAACGTTATACGATAACAGATCAAGTGTACATTAATGCCACGATAGTAGATCAAGTGTACATTAATATGCCAACGATAGTAGATCAAGTGTACATTAATAGCCACGATAGTAGATCAAGTGTACATTAATAGCCACGATAGTATAAAGTGTACATTAATAGCCACGATAGGAGATCAAGTGTACATTAATAGCCACGATAACAGATAAAGTGTACATTAATAGCCACGATAGTAGAACAAGTGTACATTAATAGCCACGATAGGAGATCAAGTGTACATTAATAGCCACGATAACAGATAAAGTGTACATTAATAGCCACGATAGTAGATCAAGTGTACATTAATAGCCACGATAGTAGATAAAGTGTACATTATTAGCCACGATAACAGATCAAGTGTACATTAATAGCCACGATAGTATAAAGTGTACATTAATAGCCACGATAGTAGATCAAGTGTACAGTGACAACCTATGATAGAACGACTGACCTACAATAAAGTGTACAGTGAATTTTTAGTACAATTAAGCGTACAGTATAGTCTATGGTAGTACATAAGTCTGGCCCATAATAGTACAATAGCGTGTACAGTACAGACCATTATAGTACACACACAACATTGAACAGTACACCACCTGTAACATGAGGAGTATGAATCAAGCTTTACCTTTCAACACCAATCAATCAATCAACACCAGTCCATTGTTTAAGGTCCTAATTATCTAATAGAGGTCAAAGGTCATGTACATATATTTTGGTCAACAAGTCAGTCTGAGTCTACACCTTCACGCTACCTGAGAGAGAGGTAGACAAACGAGAATAATAATACAAAAACAAGACAGACACTTACAGAGAAACACACACAGAAAAAAAACACCCATTAGCTTTTCACTGTCAGAATTAATGTAAGTTTCTGTCAGTCGTGTCACAATTTTTTTTTCCATTCTCTTATAAACGACAGAATGATCCATGAATCAGAGGGTGACAGACAACGACACTTACAGTACTTGAAGGTGTATGTATGTATGTATGTATGTATGTATGTATGTATTGTAAGAGGTAAATGTGTACCAGTCTTAAGTTAAGTTAGGTTAGGTTAGAATTTCGACCACATGGGAAAAATTATTCACCTTGTCTACAACTCTACAGGGACCGCGTCAGTCTGCCTCAGGTACACAGACTGTTTCTCCTCAGTCTATCCCCCCCCCCCATAACACATACAGCTGAGAACACTCTTGCATTCCACGGAAGAACAACAAACAAACAAACAGCTTTACGGTAAGGCAGTTAATTGATTATTATCATAGAGTCGTTGGGTGGAGGATGGGTGGCACTGGGGGAGGATGGGTGGCACTGGGGGAGGATGGGTGGCACTGGGGAGGATGGTGGCACTGGGGAAGATGGGTGGCATTGGGGATGGGTGGCACTGGGGAGGATGGGTGGCACTGGGGGATGGGTGAAAGATGGGTGGCACTGGGGAGGATGGCACTGGGAGGATGGTAGTGGCACTGGGGAAGATGGGTGGCAATGGAGAGGATGGGTGGCACTGGGGAGGATGGGTGGTGGCACTGGGGATGATGGGTGGCACTGGGGATGATGGGTGGCACTGGGGGAAGATGGCACTGGGGGCAAGATGGGACTGGATTGGTGGCACTGGGGGAGGATGGGTGGCACTGGGGAAGATGGGTGGCACTGGGGGAAGATGGGTGGCACTGGGGAGGATGGGTGGCACTGGGGAAGATGGGTGGCACTGGGGAAGATGGGTGGCACTGGGGAGATGGGTGGCACTGGGGAGGATGGCACTGGGGGGGGCATGGGTGGGTGGCACTGGGGAAGATGGGTGGCACTGGGAGGATGGGTGGCACTGGGGAGGATGGGTGGCACTGGGGGGGCTGGGGAGAACACTGAGGAACTAGGAGGCAGGGGGAAGGGGGGCAGTGAATGATGGTGGGTGCCAGAGTGCCAATAAAACTGGGTGAGTTGGCACTGTTGAGGACCTGCACTAGTGTGACCACCAGCATACCAGGGGAGAACCTGTGAGCCACTCCTTAGTCCATCACTGTCCCCTTCCTCCTCCTCCCTTCCTCCTCCTCTTCCCCCTTCCTCCTCCTCTTCCCTCCTCTTCCTCCTCCTCCTCTTCATCTCCTCTTCTTCCCTCTCTCCCCCTTCCTGTCTCCCTCCTCCTTCAGGGTTTTTGTTTGTCACACACTTGCAAACATACACCGCCGTTCGCACAAACACACATATACACAGAACATACCATTTACACACACACACACACACACACACACACACACACTGCCTCACCATTGATCATCTATTTTGAGGTAAGATGCCTCGTCAAACTCAGGGCCCCCAGGAGTCAGATACATGACCTGGGTCGTTCTCAGGGCCCCCAGCGAGTCAGATACATGACCTGGCTCGCCCTCAGGGCCCCCAGGGAGTCAGATACATGACCTAGCTCGTCCTCAGGGCCCTTAGGAGTCAGATACATGACCAGGCTCGTCTCAGGGCCCCCAGGAGTCAGATATAAATACCATCAGTGGGAAGGGAACGAGGAGTCACGCACCGCCGCTAGTGAATGTCGTAGACGGGTCCATTAAGTCCCTTTGGCAAGACAACCCCGTGTGTGTGTGTGTGTGTGTGTGTGTGTGTGTGTGTGTGTGTGTGTGTGTGTGTGTGTGTGTGTGAGGGAGAAAGATGAAAAGGTCTATTATAACAACAATCTAGTTTCTGAAGATGTGAACTTAATAATGTACTTTGTTTATACACATGATGATCACACTGCAGGCTGATGACACTCGTATGTGTTTCTGTAGTATTTTCAACCTCTGTCCATTGACGTCTAGGTTAAGACATTATCTCTATGTTTATTAAAAGAAGTAGTAAATAAAATAGCTGTTTGTTTCAATGTTGTTTTCCGAATAGTTTCAATTTAGGGTTCACGATAAATGGTGGCATTTGTCTGGGTAGTAAGGGTGGTGATGGTGGTGGTAGTCCCGTTGTTAGTAGTGGGGGAAGTGGTGGTGGTAGTCCCATTGTGAGTAGTGGGGGAAGTGGTGGTGGTAGTCTCATTGTGAGTACTGGGGAAAGTGGTGAAAGAGCTCCCGTTGTGAGTATTGGGGGAAGTGGTGAAAGAGCTCCCGTTGTGAGTATTGAGAGTGGTAGTGTTAGCCCCGTTGTGAGTACTGAGTGCCTGGCGGAGGTGAGGGCCGGGGGGGGGTGATGGCAGGTGGCACACATCACGGCGCTCACAGAGACACTCTGAAGAATCACAGGGGAAAAACCACTCACTCAACGCCAAGTTACGGCAGACATTCCACCCTCCTCACTGTACATCCTGGCGGAGAACACTCATGGTATTTACTGACACATAGGTAGCTGGGCCTTCACACCCACAACACCACTACCACCAACACCATAACACCACCCACAACACCCACCATCCACAACACCATAACACCAACACCAGTCATTATAATTATACAAATACAACAAAAATTAAGTCCCTCAACGAGATGATAATAATAATCAGTCAAAACAACCTTATGACTGAGACAAGGTGAGACAAGCAGGTGAGATAAACAGGTGAGATAAGGAAGTGAGAGACATACTGAGACACAACAAAGGACTTAACAACAACAACATGAGTTTATATCTGCTCTAATAGGTGAGAACAAAAAACGTGGCGAGGTGTTGTGAGGGTGAGTGTGTCTAGGAAGAACAAGACTCTCCTCACACCTCACTTTACCTCCCTCTGAGCCAGTGTCATCCCCCTGCCACGTCTCTCACCAGACAGACAGAGACACACACACACCACCCCCCTCTCTTGTCCAGTTTAGGGAATTCATCAAACGCTTATCCGTGAAGGTTTAGGTTAGGTGATAATGGTGATAATGGTGATCGTAGCAGAAGTGATAATGGTGGTGGTTGATGATGGTGGTGATTGTGACGGAGGTGGTATAGTGATGGTGGTAGTGATGATGGTCGTGGTGATGGGAGTAGAGTAGTAGTGATGGTGGTAGTAGTGCCGTGTGAGGGATGAGGCAGACAGTGACAGGTGAATTAGTGCCTGGCTTAACAGCTCCACCTCCTGGCACCACAGCCACACAGTCCAAACTAAAGTCTGTGATCATAGGTGACTACCCTTGATGCCACAACATGAACATAGGATCTAAATAAATAAATAGACCTGAGAGAGAGAGAGAGAGAGAGAGAGAGAGAGAGAGAGGTCCCGGGTTCGATCCCCGGGCAGGGTGAAACTCTGGGCAAGTTTCTTTACGCCATTTGCTTCTGTCTACCCAGCAGCAATTTCGAACCTGGATGTTAATCGATTTGTGGAACGTGTTCTGGGATAATGGTTAGCCAGTGCAGTTGACGAGTTGTCCGGTCTTCTCGGACTATTCCTTGACACTGGGTCATGCAGCTAGTTAACTTAGGGTGTGGTTGTTGTGTTGGCGACAGCTTCTACACCTTAAACAAATTCACCTCTAGGTGGCCCTTGGGCCGGCCATCCGCGTTACACGAGGGGCAACCAATATTATTTTACAAATCACTACTGTCTCAACTATAGATAAAGGCCAGGGAGAATAAATGACCACACAGGTAACACTAATGAGACA